CTTTTAACAAAGATTTTTAAGTAACACAAAATCAATGTACACATTAACCATGTCTAACGAGCATATGCAGCATCTTGTACCCATCATCTCCTACCTTTTCAAGGAAAAGAAAGAAGTTCATTTTCACATCTGTTCTGATGGCTGAGTTTGGTCATCATAATTATAAAACTTTTAGTTGCAATTTTATTACTCTCTCCACTTACATTATTGTGACTATTGTGTATATTTATTTCCTGGTTCTGCTTATTTTACTATACCTCATTTCATAGGAATCTTTCTCATACTTCTCTGAACTCCTCATATTTGTCATTTTTGTGTGGTACAATAATTCATTATATTCATGTGCCACAATTTGTCTAGCTATTCCCCAATCAGTGAGCATCCACCTTGCCACCATTAATATATTTTATATTTTGCTGATGTGAATGTTTTGATATGTATGGGACTTTTCTTCCCCCTTATTTTACAGAGGAGGAAGCTGAAACCCAAAGAAATCAGTAACTGATCCAGTCCCATTGGTACTTAGCAACAGAACCCAGAGGTCCATTTAACTTCCTTGTATTAGAAGCTAATGGTTATGGGTCTTTGAAACATCTTTTGCTGTCATAAGAGTCTCTTACTGGATAGAGTTAAAATACAAGATTTAAAACATACCTATACATATTACATCACAATGAAGGTTAGGAAAAAATGCATGCCTACCAACATTCATACAGAATAGGGAAGAATGACTAAAGAGGAACGTTTAAAACTCTGACAGAAGGTAGAACTTAAATAGGGATCTGAATGTTAGAAGGAAATTATTGTACTTTGAAATAGAGGTGATGGAGTATGCTAATTTTTTTTTAAGAGTAGAATAACCTAGTTGAAGCTTCCAGGTCAGGAAAAAGTAGAATAGAAATGTGAAATACTGGTAATCCTAAAATGTTAGATAAAATTTGGAAGAACCATAGAGATTATCTTGTCCAACCCCTTCATTTTATAGATGATAACAATAACAACTTGCATTTACATAGTATTTAGTATATGTATTTTTGTCCTCCTTTTATAATAACAAAAATGGACTATATTTATAAAAGTCTTTAAGGTTAATAACACATTTTCCCCATGACAACCTTATAAGATTGGTAGTGCTAGAGTAGTATTATTTTGTAGATGAGAAAATTAAGCCTAGAGAAGTAAAGTGACTTGCCCATGGTCAGAGTGAACCACCTCTGTATAGAACTGGTTTGTTCAGTACTTTCAACTTTATTTTCCTTAGTGCAATTTCCTCTTCTTCATTAAGTACTTTGGGTGGTAGGATATAAGAGTCTATGTAAGTTGGCTTCACTGTCCTTAATGGTGAAAGTCGTTTGTTATTAAAACATCATTTAGAGCTCTTTTCTCTTTTTTGTCTATTTGCTGTCCTTACATTTTCACCGTTAAATGTCTTTAGAATGACTTGACTTAGTTTGGTCTGTTGCCAAGTTTTCTATAAATGTCTTTCCCTCTTTACTATGTCTTAGTATTTATGAATTGCTACTACTATAATCTTCTACCTTACTTCTCTGTAAGACAATTTTATATTCAAAACTGATTTTGCTGTTGGTCTTCTCTCTTTTTGGCAAGTAGGTAAGTGTTCTCTCAGGATGACAGTTCTTAGAATTTTGTTCTCCTCATTATGGCAAGTGATTTATATCAGTTAAATGAGTTATGAAAATTATTGTCCTTCCATCTATTTCCCATTTTTCATTCTTCAGTAACTTGTTTAAATAAATCTGATGAGAGAAAACCAATATGCACAAATGACTGTAGTAGTTAAAATGAAAACACTAAAATGAAGCTGATTGCCCAGTAACTGTCATACCCAGTCTTGGCCCCAGAGAAAAGATTAGGAAAAACACCTTTCTCTTTTTGTAGTGAGGTAAGCTGCCCAGGGCAGAGTGTTGTGTGTACTGTCAGATGCAATCTCCTCTCAGATCTATGAGACTCTTCGCTAAGATCTAGTGACTCCTTTCTGAGTCTGAAGTTTCCTTTCAGTGGAATAAAGGCCACTGTTCTGGTTGGTTTTGTTTAGCTAGTTCTCTTTTGAGAAATGACTATAATATGAAAACAAAACGCATCTATCAAATGTATTATTAAATAACAGTTTGTGAGGGTTTTTTTTTTAATGGTATACAAGCTTTTTATCATTTTTACTTTCTTCTCGCTTTACATTAATTTTATTCTTTGCTCTAAGAAGTCAGCAGACTGACTGTACGCAGACAGCTGATTCAGGAATGACTCCCACATCAGTTATGTTGTGAGGATCAGATGAGATAATAATGGTAAAGTGCTTAGCACGGTATCCGGCACATAGTAAGTGCTTCATAAAGATCAGCTATCATCATCATCATCATCATTAATGTCATGACTTGTTTCCTGTCTGTTAAAGTATAATTGGGTTCATTATTTGTGACAGTATTATTTGTTACCCATCATTGTGAAAAAAATATATATATATATATGTATATTAATGCTGTATGCTGCATTTAGACTTAAGTCGGCCAGAAACAATTTTGGTTAATTTAACATCATTCTATATCCAAGCTTCCAGTGCCCTCCAAATAATTCTGTGCTCCAAGACAATTTTAAGTAACATTTATAAGAATCTTGAACAAGAAAAAAGGTCACAGTGTGTAAAAATGCAGTTTGGGTTCATGTTCCCAGTTTGTTGAGTAACCAAGTCACCATCCCTTTCCTTCCTAGTCCACTGTCCTCTGAGACCTGTGAGGCTCTTCCCTCAGATCTAGATTGAGAATTTATCTGAATCAGAAGTATCTTTTCTGTATTAAAAGTTTCCTTTCAGTGGTAAAGAGGGTACTTCTCTGGGGTGGGTCCTAGCACCAGTCACTTCAGGGTTGAGGAAGGCAGTAATCTTATCTAGACATTAGTTAAATTTGATTATCACTCTTAAATCATTTCTCTAAGAAAGACCTTAGCTTTTGTTCTACCCATTTTCCTAAAGGGAAAAGTCTGGAGAAGAATGTTATTTCCTAATATTTCCAGTTTTATTAAGAAGGTTTTTTTAATACGCATCTCCATCAGGTTTGGTGCCTTCTGAGAGGGAGAGAGGGAGAGGGAGAGAGAGAGAGAGAGGGAGGATTCTTTTATGGAAGAAAGAATTTATATTTGTGTTTGAGGCTTCTATGTAGTTCATAAATGCTTGGCCTCTGTCATTTCTCACATATTTTCCAACATGTTTTTTCACCATTCTTACACATAAACTACTTTTCAATCAATAAGTAAGAATTCTTTTTTAACACCTGTATTGTACCAGGCACTGTGCTAAACTCTGAGGATACAGGGACGAAGAAAACCCAAAACTAGCCCTTCTCTCAAGGAAAGATTAGTCTACATTTGCGTTGAAATCACAAAGTTTCAAAGTATACATTAATTTAATATAGAGGAAGAAGAAATATGAGAAAACATCTCTCTTGAATTTTTGTAGAGGAGGGGGACTAATGAATGTAAAACACTACATAGAATTTAGACATTTAATATATTGATTAGTTTTGCTGAACTTCCCTCCCCCCCTCTTTTTTAAAATTTTTTATTAGGAAGGGATGGTTTTCTGAAAGGAGAATGAGATAGGGATTCACTGGGAAATGAAGATGATGTAAAAACAAAAGATATCAATAAAATTTATTTGTTATGGAGAATTTGAGTTCCCTTTTTTTTTTTGGCCTCTTAATTCTCTGCAACACAATGTAAACTACAATTATTTTCACAGTGGGCTTGTTTTTATCATGAATACTGCAGTACAAGATAACTAGTGTTCCATGAAATGGTCTTTGGACTCATGATGAAAAACAATTCTCCCCACTCCTTTATTTGCCTCTCCAAGGAAAGCTGGTGAGGCATATTCCCATTTAGCAGCAACTTCCTTTATATTAAGAATATTATGTTATATGATAAAATTCATTTCTTCCAGTAATATGTCTGCTTATTGGTTCTTAGACAAGAATGTCACATTTAGACTTCCAGCCGCTGAGTTAAGGTTTATCTGGCCCCAAATTGTGTTACGTCCTTGGCCCCATTTCCCACCGTTTTGCTGTTTATTCAGCAAGCATTTTTAAATGTTTGCTGCATACAAGCAAAGTGCTAGGGATAGAAAGAAACAATTCCATCTTTTGAGGAGCTAACATTCCAGTAAGAATGAGCCTACATTCATTCACCTGAGTGCCATTGTCACTGAGAATGTGGAACAGATCTGCAAATGACTGAGGGCCATTTAGTATTTTTCTTTGTTTTGTGGATTGCTGTGGTCAAATAATTTGTTACTAAGTGATCAGCCTAATGATAATGATGATCTCCATACTTAATTAGGGTGGTCCTTGGAAAGAAGACAGTCAGTTGCTGGGACTGTAACTGAAATCTTTCCAGTTTTGCAAAACCTATCAGAGCTTGTACTCTGTTTGCATAGCCTCCAAGAACATAAGTTCATTTCCACATTATAATAAGGGACTTATATACTTAAGGGGGAGGGGAGGTGCAGCGTGGAAAAGGAGAAATGGGGAGGG